TTTTTTTTTTTTTTTAAAGAGATGGGGACTTGCTCTTGTTCAAGCTGGTCTCAAACTCTTGAGCTCAGAGGATCCACCAGCCTTGCCCTTCCAGACTGCTAGGATTACAGGTGTGAGCCTCTGCACCAGGCTCCTACTTAATTTTTAAATAGCCTTTATCACCATCTGACATATTTTGTGTGCTTTCCCTGACTAGAATGCAAGGTCTTTTGAAGCAAAGATATCCCTCACTATTATTTGACCATCCCCTTAGAATAGAGGTAGTAAAAGTTTAAATAAATATTTGTTGACTTGCTATTGAATGAAAAGTAGTACTGGTTCACAAGTTATTTGCTGATCACTACAGTGTAGTCTTCAGTCCTCAGAAACGTGATTCTAGTCAGTGCATATGGACCCCACCCCCAACGGGACTTTGTCAAGCCTCAGCAGGCCCAGATGCCTATGTTATACTGAGAAACAAAAACAGACTGTTTTGTATACCTCTGGTATACTGGTAGACTTCTAACAGAGAAATGCATTACATTCTATGATGTCTTGACTCAATCCAGTTGACAAAGTGTCAGTAAATTTCTGTATTATATTAGTCACTGTTCTATGCACTGGGGATGCAGGGGATAGTAAGAGTGACATTCTAGTGGGGCAGGACAGACAGTAAGGAAATACTTAAAAATAGGTAAGATCATTTCATACGTAGTAAGTATTCTTGAGAAATCTTGTTTTTTGCAAATGAAAGTATTTTTAGGAATTTAAATAGGTATTGTTTTGCTTATTAACTTTTTATTAGAACTTAATAAGCATTTATTTATAAAACATACTATCAATGGCTTCATGAAGCTTTATCTTATTTCCTGTAAAGCTTTATCTTATTTCCTGTAAATATATTTATGGTGAAGCTGCTCCAGCCTGGAGCCTAGACTTGCTTTTGGCCTTGGCTGTACTTGGGTAGTGGGGGTGGGGTGGAGTGTGTGAGGGGGCATCTGACCTTTCCAAGGCCTGCTCTTCTCACCAGGAAGTCAGCACAAACAATTCAAGAAACTCAGTCAAATGGCCTAAGTGTTTTAATCTTCCTGTAGCAATTCTGTTTCCAGGACTGTCTGCTGATGTTGAGTGCTGTGTAAGAGAAATCTGTTGTTTAGTCTCAGTCAGCTTCACTAGCACCTTGGCTAGGGCCTTTACCCTCCACTTTTGCATTCTTGCCATGTGGGGAGTATCATCTTACTACATATTCTATTTTTTTTTTTTTTTTTGAGACAGAGTCTCACTATGTGGCCCTTAGTAGAGTGCTGTGGCATCAGCTCATAGCAACCTTAAACTCCTGGGCTTAAATGATTCTATTGCTTCAGCCTCCCAGTAGCTGGGACTACAGGCCCCCACCACAATGCCTGGCTATTTTTTTGGTTGTAGTTGGCCCTGGCTGGGTTTGAACCCGCCAGCCTCTGTGTATGTGGCTGGCCATTGTGCCACAGGGTCCGAGCCATTACTACTTATTCTAACATTTTTCATCCAGTAGCTTCTCTTAAACAACTTGATGCCCTCTTGCCTAAGACCCAAAGGGCCATATTACCCCCTGTGTATTACCCTCTTTTCCTGTCAGTCTGGATGGACGCATTCCTTGTCCGGGTGACCGATACCAGTACCTTTGTTTGCCTCACCTTCCTGGTGAGACCTTTTCCCCTCTTTCACAGAAGGATATAGCTTTGCATTCTAGGCCTTTTCACTGAAACTGTGGGTGAGCTCTTAATATGACTTTCTCCCCTCACCCCCAGACAAGGTCTCTCTGTTACCCAGGCTTGAGTGCAGTGGTACCATCACAGCTCACTGCAGGATTGCTGGGCTCAGACAATCCTCCCACTTCAGTCCCCCAAGTACCTAGGAGTATAGGCACACACCACCATGCCTGACTGATTTTTAAAATTTTTTGTAGAGACAGAGTCTCACTATGTTCATCCAGGCTCATCTGAACTCCTGGCCTCAAGTAATATTCCTCTCTTGGGCTCTCAAACTGCTAGAATTACAGGTGTGACCCAATGTGACCGTATTTTAAAGTTTAAACAGTACTACAGGATTCATGTATAATATCACCTATGGTATCAGAGAGATGTTTTCCACATAATATTATCTAAATATGAACTTGTGAGTATAGGTTACCTATCTTTCATGGGAAGAGATAGTTTATTCACTTTAGTATGTCTGTCTTCTGAAGTAAATCTTATTTCTTCTTTTAACTTGTTTAACAGACTATGGAGAATTGTATCATAAACTCCAGAGCAAATCATAGCTCTTTCCTCTCATCATCATTATAAAATAGTAAGATTGGTAACTCAAGCCAACATCACCTAGACTTTACTCATATACCTGGATTCTTATTTTCCCTTTAGAAATGGTACAAGACAGCTCAGCACCTGTGGCTCAAGTGGCTAAGGCACCAGGCACATACACCTAAGGTGGTGGGTTCGAATCCAGCCCAGGCCTGCCAAACAACAATGATGCTGCAACCAAAAAATAGCAGGGCCTTGTGGTGGCCCACCAAACCCAGGCCTGCCAAACAACAATGACACTGCAACCAAAAAATAGCCGCCTGTGGTCCCAGCTACTTGGGAGGCTGAGGCAGGAGACTTGCTTGAGCCCAGGAGTGGGAGGTTGCTGTGAGCTGTAATGCCACGGCACTCTACCCAGGGCGGGGGGGACAGCATGAGGCTCTGTCTCAAAAGAAAAAAAAAAGAAAAGAAAAAGAAGTGGTACAAGACCTTTGGCATTCCAAACTCTTTTCTTACCATGGTATGTTGAATTATATTCTGATAGTACCTGTGGAATGAATTATGAGGGTTAATTCTATGTTATAATTGATACTGGTTCTTGTAGGTGGAAAATTAGATTGAGATTTTAGTCTCAGTTTTATGTTTTTTTATTAAGTTTGTGAACTTGGGCAAGTTACATAAACTTTTGGTCTGTCGTTTCCTCATGTACAGTAGGGGTATAGTGGAAGGTGTAATATTCATAGCTTACTTCATAGGCTTGATTATGGTTATATGAGATTATGTATGAAAATATTAAATGCATGTAGGATGGAACTAAGAAATCTGAGGATAAATTTTTAGCTTGAAATACAGTGTTTAAAAGATGATCTGGAAGAAAGGGGTCTAATAATGGTTTACTGTATGTCAGGCATCACTTTGAAAATACTTTATAATTTCAAAGTAATAACTATGGCTGAGGGGGCAGCGCCTATGACTCAGTGAGTAGGGTGTTGGCCCATATACTGAGGGTGATGGCTTTGAACCCAACCCCAGCCAAACTGTAACAAAAAAATAGCCAGGCATTGTGGCGGGTGCCTATAGTCCCAACTACTTGGGAGGCTGAGGCAAGAGAATCACCTAAGTTCAAGAGCTGGAGGTTGCTGTGAGCTGTGATGCCATGGTACTCTACCGAGGGTGACAAAGTGAGACTCTGTCTCTAAAGAAAAAACAATGGCTGAGGAAGAAGAGAGGAAAATGACAAAATGACATCAATTGAATCTATAATGTTTTATTCTTGGGGAAAAATATGAAGCAAGAATGATAAAATGATAGAATTTAATAGCTCTAAATAATGAACACAGAGAAACATTTCTGTAATTTTCAAAGAAAATTCACAGTAAACACAGTGTTAGTCTTTGAAAAATTACAGAAATATTTTACAACTTCTAAAAATATTTTTGGAGACAAGGTCTTATTCTATTGCCCACCTTGGAGTGTAGTGGCATCGTCGTAGCTCCTGAGCTCAGGCAATCCTCCTGCCTAATCCCTCTGTGAGGCTGGAGCTGCAAGTGTGTCCCACCTGGTCTGGCTAATTTTTAATAGAGATGGGGTCTCACTGTTGCCCATGCTGGTCTCAAACTCCTGGCCTCAAGGTATTTTTCTGCCTCAGATTCCTAAAGTGCTAGGATTATAGGCATCAGTCACCATGCCCAGCAACATTTTAAAAATAGAATATCACCTTTTGTCAAGATATAAGTGTTTTAGTTGATCTGCTTATGTATCTTACAGAATCACAGTATATATCAGTGTCATGGATATGAAAACAGATTTTCACATATTTAAATAGCTAGTAGGGTTTTTTGCAATTAAATTTTGTTTCATTATGTTACTTTTTATTTCCACAGGTTTATAAAGTTCTGGTCTCAGTGGGCAGGAGTGAATGGTTTGTCTTCAGGAGATATGCAGAGTTTGATAAACTTTATAATACTGTAAGTAATGGTCATTTAATAAGATTTTTGTTTAAAACAAAATACCTGAGAAAACCACCGAATAAGAGAGATTTATTTGAATGATTAAATTAACACTTGCACATATCAGACAAGAAGAAAAGGGCAAGAGATTTTTCAAATGCATCCTAACTTTAGAATTCTTACAGAAAAAGATGAACAGATACCATTGAGCAGTTCCAAATAAATCATTGAAAGTAAGAGAACTAGATAACAGCTTAAAGTTTGTGCATGAACTTTATGGCCATCATATACATTTTAATGTCACAGAATATTAGAAATAAATTATTTCTACCTACTTCTCTGATATTGGTTAATCATCAACATATTTCTGTTTAAATTGCCCAATTGTAAGGTGTAAGTTTAAATTATGTCACAGGTCCATCCTCCTTTCATACTTTTATACTTAGTTAAAAGGTAAATCTCAGGTTCTAGATTTTAAGTACCTCACACAACTGAAATGAGTATTGACTTTCAGAAGTTCTGATAGTTACCTGGGCTGAGAGACCATTAGCTATTTACTTAAATAATTAAAACCTATTTTTATGTATCTATAGTACAGATAGTAAATAGTATTCATAATCTAGTGTTTGCAGTGCTCCTAGTACATACCTTTCTATAGTAGGCCACAGATCACCTCCATTGTGATATATCAGGCCAGATCTTACATAGGTACCAAAGTTTGTGGAGAGTGTTGCCTTGAAGATCATACACAGAGGCCAAAGTGGCAGGATTACAAGATAAGCCATTGCTCCCTGCCAAAGTTCCGCTTTTGAAACAAGTAATAGCCAATAGAAGTTTGTACATGCAAATACCTCCCATAATTTTTTTTTTTTTGAGACATAGTCTCTGTTGTCCTGGATAGAGTGCTGTGGCATCATAGCTTACAGTAACCTCAAACTCTTGGGCTCAAGTGGTCCTCTGGCCTCAGCCTCTCAAGTAACTGGGACGACAAGCTTCTACCACAATGCCTGGCTAGCCTTCTATAATTTTTTTTTTTTTTTGAGACAGAGTCTTATTTTGTCGCTCTCAGAGTGCTGTGACGTCACAGCTCAAGCAACCTCAAACCCTTGGGCTTAGTGATTTTGTTGCCTTAACCTCCCAAATAGCTGGGAGTAGCCAGCCACGACTCCTGGCTATTTTTAGAGATGGGAGTCTCACTCTGGCTCAGGCTGGTCTTGAACCTGTGAGCTCAGGCAGTCTACTCACCACAGCCTCCCAGAGTGCAAGGATTACAGGCATGAACCACCACACCTGGGCTGCCTTCCGTAATTTTTTTTTTTTCTTTGAGACAGAGCCTCAAGCTGTCACCCAGTAGAGTGCTATGGCATCACAGCTCACAGCAACCTCCAGTTCCTGGATTTAAGCGATTCTTTTGCCGCTGCCCACCAAGTAGCTGCGACTACAGGCACCCACCATAATGCCCGGCTATTTTCTATTGCAGCCATCATTGTTGTTTGGCAGGCCCGGGCTGGATTCAAATCCACCAGCTCAGGTGTATGAGGCTGGTACCTTAGCCACTTGAGCCATAGGCGCAGAGCCAGCCTTCCGTAATTTTTAAAAAATGGTTTTATTTTGGAGACTGATTAAGGGTTGAACTGTTAATTTCACTGAAAACTCTTAGATACCTGTTATCTACATGTTCAACATTTTTTTGAGGATTGTAAAATCTGTACACACTGGGATACCTAGGTTATGCTTAGGGAAAAATAACATTACAATAATATCTCTCTGACATGCACACAGTTTATATGATCTTAGATAAGAGGAAATTTTGTTTAAAGAATTAGCAATAACTGAAATTTGAGACTTCTTTCTACATTTCTAAACGTGTTATCTTTAGCAGAACTATTCATAAGAGGAAGGAATGTACAGGGAATGTCACCTAAAAACTCAGCAGTATGGAGATCTATACCAATGCTGTATATTCAAGATGGTTTCATGAATTAAATAGCTGATGATCTCATAGACTGAGTGTACCTTTGGCTGGGTGAAGTGGCTCAGTATCTGTAATCCCAGTAAACTCTGGGAGACCAACGTCGGTGGGTTTCTTGAGCTCAAGAGTTCCAGACCAGCCTGAGCAAGAGTGAGACCCTGAATCTGAAGGAAAAAAAAAATAGCTGGGCATTGTGGTGGGTGCCTGTAGTCACAGCTACTTGGTGGACGGAGGCAAAAGAATCACTTGAGCTCAAGAGTTTGAAGTTGCTGTGCGGTATGATGCCAGGGCGTCACTCTACTCAGGATGACAAAGTGAGACTCTGTCTCAAAAAAAAAAAAAAATATATATATATATATATATACACACACATATACACACACACACATATATATATATTTGTATATCTTTAATTATAAAGGTGAAGTAATAAAACTTGTATGAGCACTTTCCCCCATGATCACTTTTATTCTCTCTTCTTTGAAACATCCTGTCTTTAAACTTTTGCAGAATTTTTTAACATGTAATTCAGTTTTTATCATTCATCTCCCTTGTTGCTCTTGTATTTCTCTTCCTTTTTTTCATCTTTTTCTTACTTCATCCCTTTTTGTGTCTATCTCTGTCTTTTTATTTATTT